AAATTTATTTTAAAAACAGTAAAATAACATGCACATAATAAAAATTTCAACAGTACAAACAGGTATATATCCCAATCCTCGGCATCCCAGTTATCCTCTTGTATATGCAGATTTACTTACCCATCTCTCTTTTTTTAAAAAAGAAAACAAAAGTGGTAGACAGCTATACCTATTTTTCTACACTCGACTTTTTTTACTTTATTTTGGAGATATAATCTTATCTGTATACATAAAACTCCTTTTTAAAGGCTGCCTGACTATATGAATATAGCATATTCCGGAGGCTGGAATTAATGAGTCTTCTATTGATGGACACTGAGGTAGTTTCCAGCCTTTTGTTATTACAAACTGTACTACAATTAATGTCCTTGTACATAGGTATTTGTGTACAAGCACAAATACATTTGCAGGATAAATCCCTAGGAATGCAACTGAGACAAATGGTTTATGCACTTTAAATCTGGACACATATTACCAAATTGTCTTTTTAAAAACTGTATGAATGCTTACTCCCAACAAAAATGTATGAGTCTTGCTTACAGCAGAATGCTGAGTGCTGGGGACTGATAAATGTGGAAAGAGTTTCAGAGTTAGAAAGTCATAATTTTGCAACCACAACTAGTCCAGGCAAGCATATATGGATGCTACATCTGGGGGAGGAGGAGATTTTAGCGAGCAGGATATCTGCATGATCTTCAAGTGTCTCCCTATAAATTGCTTATTAATTACAAGGAAAAAATAGTAACCATATAGTAATCAGACAACACCTTGACAGACTGATGAAAATAACATCACCACGGTGGGGGCAGATGGATAACGTGTGCCTCCATATGTGATACCTGAAAAGGACACAACATCATTTATGTTGTATTCCAGCCAGAATTGTATAATCTAAATCAAATCATGAGGAAATAAGAGACAAACCCCAAATGAGGAACATTCTATAAAAAAGCAGGAGGACGGTGCTCTCCAGAAACATCGATGTCAGGAGAGACAAAGAAAGGCTAAGAAACTGTCGTAGATTAAAGGATACTAAGAAGATATGTAATCTAATGCAGGACACAATCCTAGACTCAATCCTGTGATGTAGGGAAAAAATGCCAAGAAGTGTTAATTGACAGAAATGGAAGGTAGAAAGTAGATTGGCATCCGTTTGGTAACTGTACTGTAGTTGGGTGGGAGAGTGTCCTTGTGCTCTGGGGATGCACACTGAGTGCAATTTACTCTCTAGTGGTTCAGAGAAAAATACATACATACATTTCCATGTACATACATACATGACAGTGAGCAAGTGAAGAAGCAAGAGACATTATGTCAATAGCAGTGAATCTACATGAGGGATGTATGGTGTTCTTTATGCTGTTACTGCAACTTCTCTGTAAGTCTGAAATTATTTCTAAATAAAAGTTAAAAAAAATTCAAAGGAGGGAAATAATGATTATTCATATACACACACACACAAATCACTGTTTTCTCACCCACATTAATATGGTGTATTATGAAAAATTTCTAATCTTTGCCAATAACGGGTAGCAAACAGTATCTCAGTTTTAATTTGCATTTCTTACGTGAGGTTAAGCATCTTTTCACATATTTAAAGCCCATTTTATTTTCTGTGAACTATCTTCTGATTTTTTAATAATCTGTTTACAGTTAAAATATTTCATCTATCTGGAATTTACTGTGATGTGATATGATGACCAAGTAATTTTCAAGGGTGCTGACCAACTAACTGTTCTAGTACTATGTGTTAAATGAATCCTTCCCCTGTCCCTGGTGACGCAGTGGTTAAGCGCTTGGCTGCTAACCAAAATGTCAGCAGTTTGAACCCACCAGCTGCTCCGTGGGAGAAAGATGTGGCAATCTGCTCCCATAAAGATTACAGCCTTGGAAACCCTATGAGGCAGTTTTTCCCTGTCCTATAGGGTTGCTATGTGTCAAACTGGACTCGGTGGCAACAGGTTTGGGTTCCCTGTCGCCGTGATTTTTTAATATATTTTTTGGTGTACTTTGAGAATATAAATATTTAAAATAATTTGTATTTTTCTTCTCACTTATTAAACTAAAGAAATTTTCTTTTATTTCATCCAAGTCGATAAGATTTTCCATAATAACATTCATATCAATTCAAATATGTAGCTAAATAACCAATATTAAAAGATGGTACTTCATAAGCAACTCACAAGCTACACATCCAATCATATTAGGTATATAATTTTCCTCACATATATAATATAAATTTAGGAAAGATTTACATACTATACACTCAACCACTATTTGAGCCTAAGATACTTATTTTGGGAAAGTAACAGTATTAAAAAGAAAACAGTTTCAATAAAAGGAAAAATTAAGAAAAAAATTACTTATCAATAATTTCAAAAGCTATCACATTTTTCCTTACAATTATCAGGTCTGAAATCTTATCTTTTATGACAAGGAAAAAAGTTTTCTACGTCTAAAACTCATAACACTTCCTTGGGGGAAGGCACTTAGTATGACCTAGAGGAAAATACTTATACCCTAAATATTCTTCATATCTTTGTTTTCCTTAGCTCCCTCTTTTCCAGTGACTGAAAGTAAAGCATTTGTGTTATAATTTATAAGAGGCTTGAGGGCAAGGGCTGTCTGTTTTATTTTCTTTTTTTCCTTAGGATGTATCATTTTTATTTTATACTTATAGAAGTTCTTTTTTTTACTATACTCTAGGTGAAGGCTTATAGAGCAAATTAGTCGCTCATTAAACAATCAATACACACAATGTTTTGTGACACTGGTTGCCAAACCCAAGACATGTCAACACTCTTCCCTTCTCGACCCTGGGCTCCCTATTACCAGCTTTCCTGTCCCCTCCTGCCTTCTCGCCCTCCCCCCTGGGCTGGTGTACCCATTTAGTCCGTTCTGTTTTATAGGCCTGTCTAATCTTTGGCTGAAGGGTGAGCCTCAGAAGTGACTTCAGTACTGAGTTAAAAGGGTGTCCAATGGCCATACTGTCGGGGATTCCCCAGTCTCTGTCAGGCCAGTAAGTCTGGTCTTTTTTTGTGAGTTAGAATTTTGTTCTACATTTTTCTCCAGCTCTGTCCAGGACCCTCTACTGTGATCCTCATCAGAGCAGTCAGTGGTGGCAACCAGGCACCACCTAGTTGTGCTGGACCCAGTCCAGTGGAGGCCACGGTAGCCATGGTCCATTAGTCCTTTGGATTAATCTTTCCCTTGTGTCTTTGGTTTTCTTCATTCTCCCTTGCTCCAGACGGGGTGGAACCAGTGGAGTATCTTACATGGCTGCTTAAAAGCTTTTAAAACCCCAGAAACTACTCACCCAAAAAGGATGAGAACATTTTCTTTACAAACTATGTTATACCAACTGAGTACGATGTCCCCCGAGACCATGGTCCCCAGCCCTTAGACCAGTAATTCAGTCCCTCAGGGTGTCTCTTTTATCCTCCTAGTGAATCTCCACAATATCTAGAACATAAGGGATACTCAATAAATGGTACTGACAAAACAGTACCAAGAAAAAAGGCACTTTCTTGGAGACAACTGGCAAACTTTAGCCAATATTGCTCTGTAAAGAGCAACAGTATCACATTTAAAAACCATTTTTAACTACAAATGTGGAAAAGATTATGTATCATAAAATTGTTTAAACACATCACAGTGAATAAGGCAGCCAATGAGCGTCAGGAGTTCTTAAATTAGAAAATCTTACCTCTTCAAAAACGGCAGCTTTATTTACTTTTTCCCTTGCAATGTCACAGATTTTCAGGATTCCCAGAGCAAAAGCTTTCATGGCAGGATCTTCTATAAAGTCTGGATTATGAATATAAAGGCACGTAAATACTGTCTGTGCCAAGGAATGGCCTTCCAACCATGTGATCTATGAAGAAATGAAAGAGTGTACACATTTAAGGGTGATACACAGAGTCTGTAAAGTCTAAATTGATCCAGCAAAGGCCAGAGTGCTGCAGAACCAAATAAATATGTTTACTTACAAGATTTAAATGATGATTAAAGAAAAGTCAGAAAAGAAGAGTTAGAATTTACTTGCCCTGACTAAAGCTTTTCAAGAATCATATACCACAAATGTGGTTAGCTATTGATGGGACACATTCTCAGATATAACTAAGTTGATAATATATTCGGAGACTAATAAATTAGAGTGACTCCTCACGAAACATCAGAAAGGAGTCAATTCCACAACGTAGTCAATAAAAATCTGTAACTGAGGAATTCACAATTTTAGAACTAACAGGGTCCCTAGCCACTTATTCAGTTCTTCTTTTCTTTTTTTTTAAAATAGTTTATTTTTGTTATTGCTGAGAATATACACAGCAAAACATACACCAATTCAACAATTTCTATGTGTACATACAATTCAGAAACACTGATTACATTCTTCAACTTGTGCAACCATTCTGACCCTCCTTTTTCGAGTTGTTCCTCCCCTATCAACATAAACTCACTGCACCCTTGTTTCCTATCTTTCAAGTTGCTGTTGTCAATTTGATCCCATATAGAAAGATCTTAAAAGAGCACAATGCTTAAGGCAGACATTCTTTACTAGTCAAGCTAAACTATTGTTTGGTTTCAAAACAACTTCAGGAGATGTTTTTGGTTTAAGGTTTAAAGATATCTTAGGGCTATAGTTTCAGGGATTCATCCAGCCTCCATGGCTCCAAAAGTTCTGGATTCTATGAGAATTTAAAATCAGTTCTTCATCCACCCCACCACTAGCCCAGCCAAGAGCAATGTAACTCACCTAGACTTTTACAAAAAACTATACAGTGCCCATCTCTAATTCAATACCCTCAACCAGAGGGATATTTCTAAAACACAAAGGTAATCACTCAAATCCATTTTACTGAGTGTCTATCATACGCTAGGTACCATGTGCTAGAAGCTGGAAATACCAACAACAGCCAAAATTGAGTAACCACTATATCCCAAGTACTATACTAGGTGTTTCCATATATCTGAGCCCATTTTTACCTAACACTTTGAGGAAAGTTATATTTTTCTCCTTTTACATCTAAGGAAATGGATTCAGAGAGTTTAAATAATTTGCCGAAGTCTGCACAGTTATTTTTACACTAAAGCCCAAGAATTCTTTAACAGAGCAAGACACACATTGCTACATCATTAAACAAGACATATACATTAAAAATACTATAACTAAAATGTGTATTTGGTATTACCACTGTGCAGAAGAGACTTTCCAGATTAAAAGCCATCTGCCTACTAAAGGCCAACCTCTTAGATATGGTCCCAAGGATATCATAGAAACAGAATGTTTCCTCAACTTTGGCAAAAATCCTTCCCCTTTCCTTCCTCTAACTGCCCTTCCCGCCCTCTACCACTCTCACTATTTACACATTGACATGGATTGAACTGTGCCCCCAAAAATATATGTCAACTTGACTAGGTCATGATTCCCAGTATTGTATAGGATTGTGTAATCTTTTGTGATTTCCTTACGTGTTGTAAACTCTATCACTATGATGAGATTACATGTGTTGTAAATTCTATCACTGTGATGAGGTTATACTGATGAGGTTTACAAGATTAGACAGTGTCTTAATCCAATCTCTTTTGAGATATAAAAGAGAGAAGTGAGCAGAGACACATGGGAACCTCATACCACCAAGAAAGCAGTGCCAGGAGCAGAGAGCGTCCTTTGGACCTGAGGTTCCTGCGCAGAGAAGCTCCCAGACCAAGGGAAAACTGATGACAGGGACCTTCCTCCAGAGCCAAAAGAGAAAGCATTCCCCTGGAGCTGAAGCCCTGAATTTGGATTTGTAGCCTACTGGACTGTGAGAGAATAAAATTCTCTTTGTTAAAGCCATCCACTTGTGGTATTTCTGTTGGAGCAGCACTAGATAACTAAGAAACACATTCCTCCCAGACTTCAGTCATAAGCAGTTGTTCATGATTCCCCCAATCTTAACATTTTTACATGGCCATGCCTATGCAATATACTCTCTTTGCCTGCAATCCTGTTACCCTTTCTGTCACATGCCTACCATTCTTTAGTGCCTCATGCCAGAATCACTTCCTTTCTACAGTCTTTCTTACTCCACCAGCCACTCCTCGGGAGAAAGATGTGGCAGTCTGCTTCTGTAAAGATTAGCCCTGGAAACCCTATGGTGCAGTTCTACTCTGTCCTACAGGGTCACTATGAGCTGGAATCAAATCCACGGCAACAGGTCTGGTTTTTTTCTTATCCCACCAAGACTACAAAATGCTCAAGGCTAATAAAGACATCTTTGAGAGAAAGAGAGAGCTTTGAAGGCAGAAGGACCAAGATTAGGACTCTAGCTATGTCCCTTTCTAACAACAAAACCCCAGGCAAATCAGACAAGATGAGACCAGATACCTAATAGAAATGATGTGAGATCTAAGTAAAAAATATACATGTAAAACACCCAAAAATAAGGACTTCACACATATTTTTCTGAAGAAGCAAATGAATATTTGCTTAATTTCATTTGTTTAACATTTGAATAAAAAAAAATTCAGAATATTTGCTGAATAAAAAAATGAATAAATTTTACATATTTCTAAGGATGATGCTTTAACATCAAGTTTAAAAAGAAAAGGATGGTCAGAAAGCAGGCAAGGAAAAAAGGTAGTACAAATCAGAATTTTTCCACAATTAAACCACACTGTCCACTATATATAAATACATAAATAACTAAAAAATTTTCCTCACGGTAGAACACGACAGTTTACCACAATTTATCCTAGATCAGGAAAAAAAATAAATCTCTTTTTTCAAGGCCAATCCAGAGCTCCCTTTGCTTCTACTCCATGCTTATTTCCTAAACCAAAAACCAAACCTGTTGCCATTGAGTCGATTCCGACTCACAGCGACCCTATAGGACAGAGTAGAACTGCCCCATAGAGTTTCCAAGGAATGCCTGCTGGATTCAAACTGCCAATCTTTCGGTTAGCAGCCGTAGCTCTTAACCACCACACCACCAGCTTATTTCCTAGCATCTTCTAATTACAGACCTGCTTCCCTGGGTACCAAGAGATCAATAAGCATACTCTGGACAATGACTATAATATGAATCTTCATTGGAAATAAAATATCCCTACACTCAGGAAATGAGAACTTACAATCACCCAGATGGGGAGATGAAATGTTTCCTGAGGCATAGCTTGGCCTGATAACCTTATTCCCATTTTCCGAGGCCCAGGATTATATAGATTCATCTTCAGCATTAGTGTACATACTTTTAAATTCAAAGGTTCAGGTAAGTCATAGTTTTTAAAGTAACCAACAGTCTTATTTTAATGCTTACCAAACAGCAAAAACATGTATCCATTATCCCTATCAATTCAGGCAAAGTTAGGTCTTTAATTTTAATGGTGCCATCCTAAAAAAAAGGGGAAAATAAGACACATTAGCATAAATTTTCTAAAATTTATAGTTACTATATACAGTAGCATTTTGGCTTTCAAAAATTAAATATTTAAAAATAGCATTTTTAAGAAATTCTACCTCATCATCTGATAAAACTAAGATCAAATTAACTCTGTATTTCTAAAAACAATATATCTTAAACAGATACTTTTAAACAAAGTATCTTAATGAAGAAAAATCAAAGCTGCTCTAATTTGAAACAGAATAAAGGCCTTTATAAAGAAATGAAAAGTCAATTACAGTAAAGTAAAATTAGTTTTAAGCATTAACAGACATAGAGATCATTTTAATGGAATGAAACTAGTTGCAAAGAAAAAAATTAACATTTTCAAAACATTTCTCTTAAATCAATTAAGTAACTATAAACCCGTTCACGTGGAGTCGATTTCAACTCATAGCGACACTAGAGGACAAAAATAGGGTTTCCAAGGCTGTAAATCTTTTCAGAAGCAGACTACCACCATACTTCTTCTGCAGAGTGGATGCTGGGTTGGAACCGCCGACCTTCCAGTTAGCGGCTAAGCGCATAGCCACTGAGCCACCAGGGCTCCTCTGATTAACTATATTACCTGTAACTTTTGTTTACAATACTCATTTGCTTAGCAAAATTTTATTCATAAAATATGTAAAATTAAAACCTTTGGCAACTGTGAATGAATTTTTAAATCAACTCTCATTGAGTGAATTTCAAATTCATTAGAATTTAATCCCTAAACCAATTATCCTGACACTTGTACACTCAGCTGCTTTCCAAAAAATAATAAACACACACACACATACATTTAGAGCAAGCTTTTAATGAACACCTCAAACAATTACAGATTTCAGCAGAGACAGATGATAATTAAAGGTTAATACAAATTCCTATTTCTATAACTGTAAATGCTTTTAAGAAAACTGCACTTTAAGTGTAATATATTAAGCTTAATTCATTATTAAGTGCAAACTTTTAACATATGAAATAGCAAAAGATAGAAGAAAATACAAAAGGTACAATGCTAACTACCTTGATAGCTTGTTCAAAATTGAGAACTTTTCGATTAACTTGATTTCCAATCATGCCAGCATCCATCTTGGGATCCATCATTTCAATAGCAGACATGGCTTCAAAAAGACCAAATCTGCAAATAAAAAAATTGACTCTACAAATTGTTTTTAAACCAGTATGCTTACCCAGACTTCCACAATGGTGTAAAAACTATTAGTACTTTTAAAACAAAAGATGTCTTTTATGCGTAGAAACTTCTGGAAAAAAAGGAAGTAGTTCGTCTGATATGTAGTGGATTTCACTTTGCCTGCCTTAAATAATTTTTTGTAAATATTCAACATTTAGAGAGACATGATGGAAATATGTAAATTTTACTTCTTTTTCATTTCCTTTGTATCTTAAAATCTAATAATCTGGCACATTACTGTCTATAATGTTCCAAGTTTTGGCAATTACATAATGAAAAATAATCCAGAAATCCTGATGGTCTGGTATCTGTGGCTAATGAGCCATAAAAGCAGGTAGTTGTGATGCACTGTGGACTGATCAGTGAGTATATCATTAACTGAGATATATCTCAGAAAACGGGACAGGAAAAAGAAAAGCCTAAAAGAAGGCTTGGCTGTCTATCAAGATAATGACTCCATAGTTTGCTTAGTCTATGTCTTTAGACTACTGGGAAAATAAAGAAATCTACTTGTTACCTTAAGGCATTGCTCTCAGAAAAAAGCAGCAGTAAGACATCAAAGAGAGCTTTAAGCAGACAGACTGAAATCTCTCTTCTCTCTCACTGCTTCGATTTAAGCTACTCTGACAATTTGATTGCTTGACAGTATTGTTGAAGACTGCTCTCAGCTATAAATTTCGCGCAATGCTAATCAAACCCCAACTGGTATTTTTCAAAGAACCTGCCAAGTCAAAAGAGAAAATACACAAGAATGGAAAAGTCCTGAAAAAATTTTATTGAAAAAATAAAAACAACGGTGATTCACAAGATATCAAATAGTAGTACAAAGTTATAAGAATTAAAAGTGTTCTAGAATACAAAGATCAATGTGAGAATTATGTATGATAAAGGTGGAATTTCAAACCAGTGGGATAACAGTGAATTAGTCAATAAATGATGTTGAGACAAGTTGCTAACAATCTGGAAAAAGTCAGATCTTTGATTCACACCATTTGAAAATATAAATCCCAGATAGGCTGAAGTTCTAAATCTCAAACACACAATCAACAACAAAAAAAAACTCTTCAATGCTTTACAAAGACGCAATAAAGGGAAAAACTGATAGCTTCAACTGTGTAAAAATTTTAAAGTTATATACAACAATAAACCACAGATAGTTAAACACTGACAATAATCTGGCGGAAACACTTTTAATATAGACAATTTAGGTTTATATCCAGAATATATAACTAATACAAATAAAAATAAAAGGCAAATAATCCAAAGAAAATTAGGCAAAGAACAGAAACAGACAATTCACAGAACAGAAAATACAAACTGCTAATAAAAAAGGGAAAAGCTATACAAACTGAAATGGAATCAGGTAATGAATAAAACAAAAAAAATCTGTTTTGGCCTTAAGATAGGAAAATTTTAAAAAACATATCTGTGTACTCTCAAACACTGTTGGTGGGAATATAAATTAAGGAAGACTTAGAGGAAAATTTGGCTGAATCCATTAAAATACAAAACAAACGCTTTAAACCAGGCATTTTATTTTTAGGCTTCTACCCTAGAAAATTATTTTTACATATATATGTAAAAAGAGGTTTATGTAAGTTAAATGTCTTCAACTTTCCCATGTTACCAAAAAATGTTGCAACCTAAATGTCCATCAATAGGAACACCACAGGATAAACTGTACCAAAGTACATCCATTTTATAAAATACAATATAACACTTAAAATGGACAAGGTTGAACTATTATATATTAACATGAAAAGATCTCCAAGATATATTAAATGGGAAAGGAATTTATAAAATATATAGCATATAATCCCATTTATATTTCATTTTTTTATAGATGTTTATTCATGTGTATAAGCATATTTTTTAAATGGTCCAGAAGGCAACACAACAATCTGGTAACTTGACAGTAGCAGTGACTAAAAAACTAGTTGTCATCAAGTTGATTCCAACTCATGGTGACCCTATGTGTGTCAGAACAGAATTCCACAGGGTTTGCAATGGTAGATTTTTCTAAAGTAGATCACTAGGCCTTTCTTCTAAGACATCTCTGAGTGGACTCAAACTTCCCATTTTTCAGATAGCAGCCGGGGATTCAGATACCACCCAGGGATTCCATAACAGGGAGGGTGTCATGGGAAATTTTTGTTTCATCTTGGATGTTTGGATTTGTTAAAAACAAAGTATCCATTTATTACTTACATGATAACTTTTAAAAAAGGTTTTAGTGGCATAATTAAAACCCTAAAACTATTAGATATTTGCCTAATCGGTAAAAACTGCTACAGAAACTACAGTAGCATTAAATGAGCTATTTCATGCATTCAACAAATAATTAATGAGTACCTACTAGGTGCTAGGCACTGTTCTAGGCACTTGGAATACATGCATGAACAAAACAGATTTGCCTGTTTCATGGAGCTTACATTCTAGGGGGAGGAAACAGACAACAAACGATAAAGATAAATAAATTATATAGCATGTTAGAAGATTATTCATGCTGAGGCTAACGGACGTATGTACATGGGGAGGTACACAACTTTAATATTTAATAGGTGGTCAGAGTAGGCTGCTGGCAAGCATGTTCCCTGGGCTCAGAGCCTAAAATCTTGTGGAAATCAAGGATGACAGGTCCCTCTAATAGTCTTCTCTCAAGCCTTCTTCCATGGCCGGGAGACACTTTCCTGCATTCTCCTGTGTGTGTTTCCTATAATTGCCTGCCTCATCAAAATGATGCTCTACAGTGGTTCTCAAAGTGAGGACTCCAGATCAGCAGCATCAGCATCACCTACCTAGGAACTTGTCAGACACGCAATTTCTCATTTACAAAGCAAACTGTTATTTAAAAAGCCCTCCAGGTGATTGTGATGCACATTAAAGCATGAGAATTGAATTTCAGGCTCTAACTGTCCCCCACAAAAAGTTCAATCTTGTCCACTTACCAATTTAAAATTTCATATTCCTCACCTTGAAAATTTAGCCTGGTCATAGTAGTATGGGAACTGAGACAAAGCTATGTCAGTAGAAATACAGTCAAGCATTTCCCTGTATTTTACCTTTCCAGAGTCTCAATTTACTTTTATCCAGGCATTCAGTGATCTCTGGTCATCAGCAAATTACACATGACACACAACCAATAACCTTTCTTCAAGAAATTTCACATCCTGAACAGCTACTCTCAAGAAAAGGACTGAAGTCACAGTTTCACTAGGTACACTAGGGTCAACTCCTTCAAAATAGGTCACAAAGGTTAAAAACACACTTAAAATTAGGTTTTCTTTCTTTTTTTTTTTTTTTAACAGCTTTTAAATGTAAAATTACTCAAACCTCAATGACTACTACTGCACATAATAGGTGAAATGCTGCATTACACTACTTCAAAGAGCATATAAATACTTACAGCTTATCATGAAGCAGTTCTCCCAACTTTAATTCTAAAAGAAACAAACAAAAAAACCCTTTGAATTATGCCATATTAATATTCAACTTTTAATTCTAAAAAAAAAAGCGAAACAGTAGCACCTGAAAAACGTGCCTGCATTACTTCAAAACTCATTTTCTAAAAAATTGTTATATTATTTCTACTCAATGACTAATGTCTCCTACAGTGAATAAATGCTAAATAAGAATATCATATATTAAGTGGTTTAGAAATAAAATGAAACTATTTTTGAGAATTAACCAGTGACTCAACATGGGCCACAATATTCCAATCAGAATTACCAATCTCATTTTAAAAAATCACTGTAAATTTCCCCTAAGCAAACTTTTTCATAAAACTGTTATTTCTAAAGCTGTTTTTTTTAACCAATCTAATCTCTTTTTGTTCTAGGAAAAGTGTCAAAACTGCTTTTAAAAATTATATTTAAATAACGTAGAAAATACTTGAGTAAGCGGTTAATCAAAAGAGTGCTCATTCAGGCCATCTAAGATACTCCACTGGTCTCATCCCTTTGGGAGCAAGGGAGAATGAAGAGAACAGGATACAAGGAAAAGATCAGTCCGAAGGACTAACTGTCCACAGCTACCAAGGCGTCCACCGGACTGAGTCCAGTACAGCTAGATGGTGCCTGGCTACCACCACTGACTGCTCTGACCAGGATCACAACAGAGGGTTCTGGACACAGCTGGAGAAGGATGTAGAGCAGATTCTAACTCACAGAAAAAAGACCAGATTTACTGGCCTAAAGGAGACTGGAGAAACCTCGAGAGTATGGCCCCCAGACACCCTTCTAGCTCAGTGGTGAAGTTACCTCCGAGATTCACTGTTCAGCCTGGGAGTAGACAGCCCCGTAAAACCAAATGAGACTAACGAGGTACAGGAGTCCAGTGACAAGGGCCAGAAGGCAGAAGGGGACAAGGAAGCTGGTGACTGGGAACCCAAGGTTGAGTAAGGATATTGTTGATGTGTTGTGAGGTTGTTAACTATTGTCATAGGGCAACATTTGTAGTAACTGTTAAATGAGAAACTATTTTGTTCTGTAAGCCTTCATCTAAAGTGAGAATAACAGCACAATTGGAAGAGCATAGTCAATGTCACTGAACTGTGTATGTAGAAATTTTTGAAATGGTGTATCTTTGGCTATGTGTATTTTCACCAAAAGAAAAAAAGGTTGAGAAATTAGAGGGTTAATATGTTGTGGGGTTGTTAACCAATGTCATAAAACAACATGTGTACTACTGTTTCATGAGAAACTATCTGTTCTGTAAGCCTTCACCTGAAGTACAATAAAATATATAAAAAATAATCATAATAATAAAAATAAAAAAGAGTGCTCATTCTCTATAAAGCAGTGATTCTCAACCCTGGCTGCATATTAGAATCACCTGGGGAGCCTTTTACAAATCCCAATATCCAAGCACTAGCACCCAAACCACTTAAATCTAGGAATAAGGCTTATGCAGAATTTTAAAAGCACTCCAGGAGATTTCAGTTGGACAGCGTAGGGTTGCTATAACATGTTAAGTATCCTAAATATCAATGGTCACATCCTGTGGAAGACGTAAAGAGGCAATTTTCAGAACTTTACTCAATCCTCCTAGATAATCCTAAACTAAAAAACAATTTAACAGTTCCAGATATCAAAAGAGATAAATGAAAAACATATATCAAAATACTACAATAAAGCATAATAGAACATACATTCATAACCCAGCAGTTCTCAAAGAGTACTCTGGGAACCCAGAAGTCTGCAAGGTTAAAATTATTTTTCTCACAATACTGAAAGGTTATTTGCTTTCTCACTGAGTTGACATTTGCACTGATGGTAAAAAAGCAATGGTGGGAAGAAAAAAAAAGCAACAAGGGTAAAACTGCTATAGCCTCAGCACAAATCAAGTCCGAGGCGTCAAACTAACTGTCTATTCTTCACCTCTATGCACTTGCAGACTAAAAAAAAAAAAAAAAAATTTTTTTTTTCAATTTCACTTAAGAATGTCTTTGATGAAGCAGTAAAAATTATTAATCTCTGGGCCAGGACCGGGGTAATGAAAAAACCTATTGCCATCGAGTTGATCCCAACTCATAGCAACCCTATAGGACAGAACTGAACCACCCAATAGGGTTTCTCAGGCTGTAATCTTTATGGAAGCAGACTGCCACATCTTTCTCCCGCAGAACAGATCAAACTGCCAACCTTTCAGTTAGCACTTAACCACTGTCCTACCAGGGTTCCTTAGGGTAAGAAAAGTGAGGTGCAAATTCTACAGTGTAGGATGCAAATAACCAAAATAAAAAATGAAATGGGGGGGAGTACAACAGACCCAACAGAAATAAAAAGGATTAAAACAGAGTATTATGAAAAACTATACTCCAACAAATTTGAAAACCTAGAGGAAATGGATAAATTTCTAGAAACACATTACCTACCCCATCTAACACAAAGTGATGTTGAAAATCTGAACAGACCCATAACAAGAGAAGAGAGTGAAAAGGTAATAAAAAAAACTCCCAACAAAAAAAAAAAAAACCCTGGCCCAGATGGCTTCACTGGAGAATTCTACCAAACATTCAAAGAAAAGCTTATACCAGTTAAACTATTTCAGAACACAGAAAAGGAAGGGATACTTTCAAATTCTTTTTATGAAGCCGGCATAACCCTGATACCAAAACCAGGCAAAGACGCCACAAAAAAAAAACTTACAGACTAATATCTCTCATGAATATAGATGCAAAAATTCTCAACAAAATTCTAGCAATAGAATTCACCATCCTATCAAACAAATAATACACCACAACCAAGTAGGATACATACCAGGTATGCAAGGATGGTTCAACATTAGAAAAGCAATCGATGTAATCCACCACATAAATAGAAGGGAAGAAAAGAATCACATGATCATCTCAACTGATGCAGAAAAGGCATTCGACAAAGTCCAACATCCATTCCTGATAAAAACTCAATAAAATAGGTACAGAAGGGAAATTTCTTGACATAATAAAGGGCATCTATGCAAAACCAACAGTCAACATCATTCTTAATGGAGACAGGCTGAAAACATTCCCCTTGAGAACAGGAACAAGACAAGGATGCCCTTTACCTCCACTCCTATTTAACATTGTGCTGGAAGTCCTAGCTCAAGCAATAAGGCAAGAAAAAGAAATAAAGGGCATCCAAACTGGTAATAGAAAACCCTAAGGATTCCATAAGAAAACTACTGGAACTAATAAAAAGATGCAGCAGAGTAGCAGGATACAAGATAAACATACAAAAATCAGTTGGATTCCTATACACGAATAAAGAGGATGACAAAAAGGAAATCAGGAAAACAATTCCATTTATAACAGCCCCTAAAAAAACAAAATATTTAGGAATAAATCTAACTAGGGATGTAAAAGACCTACACAAAGAAAACTACAAAACACTACTGCAAGAAACCCAAAGGGATCTACATAAATGGAATAACATACCATGCTCACGGATAGGTAGACTCAACATTGTGAAAATGACAATTCTACTGAAAGCAATTTATAAATACAATGCAATCCCTATCCAAATACCAACAACATTCTCTAAAGAGATGGAAAAACTAATCATTAACTTTATATGGAAAAGGAAGAAACTTCAGATAAGTAAAGCACTACTGAAGAAGAAAAATAAAGTAGGAGGACTCGTACTACCTGACCTCAGAACCTACTATACAGCTACGGTACTCAAAACAGCCTGGTACTGGTACAACGACAGATACATTGACCAGTGTGACAGAATTGAAACCTAAATGTAAATCCATCCACCTACAGTCGCCTGATCTTCAACAAGGGCCCAAAGCCCATCGAATGGGCAACAGTCTTTTCAACAGATGGTGCTGGCAAAACTGGATGTCCATCTGCAAAAAAATGAAACAGGACCCATACCTCACACTATATACAAAAACTAATTCAAAACGGATCAAAGACCGAAATATAAAGCAAAAAACTATAAAGTTCATAGAAGAAAAAATAGGATCAATGCTAGAGGCCCTAATACACGGCATTAACAGGATATAAACCATAACCAACAACAAACAAACTCCAGAAAATAAGCTAGATAACTGGGATCTTCTAAAAATTAAACACTTAAGCTCATTGAAAGACTTCACCAAAAGAGTAAAAAGAGAACCTACAGACTGGGAAAAAATTTTTGGACACTACAAGTCAGACAAAGGTCTAATATCTAAAATCTACAAGAAAATGCAACACCTCTACAACAAAAAGACAAATAATCCAATTAAAAAATGGGCAAAGGAAATGAACAGACACTTCGCCAGAGAAGACATTCAAGCAGCCAACAGACACATGAGGAAATGCTCACGATCACTAGCCATTAGAGAAAGGCAAACTAAAACCACAATGAGATACCATCTCACCCCGGCATTACTGGCACGAATCAAAAACACTGGAAATAACAAATGTCGGCGAGGCTGCGGGGAGATCAGAACTCTTATGCATTGCTGGTGGGAATGCATACTGATACAACCATTTTGGAAAACAATATGGTGCTTCCTTAGAAAGCTAGAAATAGAAATACCATATGATCCAGCAATCCCACTCCTAGGAATATACCCTAGAGAAATAAGAGCCGTCACACGAATAGACATATGCACACCCATGTTCACTGCAGCACTGTTCACAATAGCAAAAAGATAGAAACAACCTAGATGCCCATCAACAGATAAATGGATAAACAAACTACGGTACATACACACAATGGAGTATCATGCAATGATAAAGAAAAATGATCAATCTGTAAAGCATCTCATAACATGGATGAAACTGTAGGACATAATGCTGAGTGAAATAAGTCAATCACAAAAGGACAAATATTGTATGAGACCTCTATTGTCAAAACTCATGAAAAAGTATACACACAAAAAGAAAAATCTTTGTTGGCTGCGAGGGATGGGAGGGGTGAGGGGGGAACTAAATAGACAAGTGGTAACTTTGGTGAAGGGTATG